TCAAAAGTACTGCGCCTAATAACCAACGCGCCATGGTACGTTCCAAATGCAATCATCAGGCGTGATCTTCAAATCAAAACAATCAAGGAAGAGATCAGCCAATGGAGCTCCCAATATAGAGCTCGACTACATACACACCCCAACGAACTTGCAGCTCAACTACTTCAACCACCAGACCTAAGGCGCCTCAAACGACACCAGCCAATCGATCTGATCACCATATTCAAAATATAATCTTAGTTAGTAGTTTAGTTTTAAGTTTAGCTTAAGTTTCTCCCCTTCTCCCACCAGGCCCCAACCTATTCATATACGGAGGGGAACTAATGAGCTCCCCTCCACACGTCATTTCACACAACTCACAACAATTTGCTAAATGTATTCATACAGATTGCAAATAAATGGGGATCTCAAAAAAAAAAGGTCCCAGGAGACACAATGCGCTACAGTCCAAACAAAACACAGATGCGTTGCGTAACAAGCAGCTATCGCCTATACTAAAGGGACCCACGCGTCCTGACGGCAGCCAGTCGTGATGATGCTGCTCTGCTGTGTGCTGGTGGCGCTGCTCTGTGCAGCGCGCGGGCAGAAGGACCCAAACGTCGCGTCGGACAGGAGCGCTATTGTTCATCTCTTCGAGTGGAAGTTTGACGATATAGCGGCAGAATGTGAGAGGTTCTTGGCCCCCCGAGGCTACGCTGGAGTGCAGGTATTGGCAGCCCTGACCGGGGTCGCATTCGTTACCATTAATATCCGAGCCAAACATAATTCTTACTTCAGACTTTTCACGTTCATCTCCAACTTTATTCTGTTTCCGCTGATGGTAAAACTTCCGAATTGCCCCTTGCTGATCCAGCAATGGCCTCCTTGAGGTTTGACCAGACAGCAAATTGCCACATCCTTCGCCTTGAATTTCTACGTTTCACGCCTGTCCTCGCAACTGGCTGGAAACAGAGAAGGTTTTTCATCAGTTTCCTATGGTTTTGTAGGGGTGTGTATCTTAGTCTCTCACATTAAGCAACGATGGTGTGTTATGCCCTATGGACATAAGAATTTGTCTCTGTTTTTGGACCATGGACCACTTTTTGCGCAGATATTCTTTGTTGGGCCACTTAAATATTAAACGAAGTATTTTAAAAACTTTGAATGGATTTAGAGTGAAATGCCGTATTTACGCATGTATAGGCCGCACATTTTTTGCCAAAAATTCAAGAGGAAAACTGGGGTGCGGCTTATATTCGAAATCACACTTCATTTAAAAAAAATATATATTCATAATTAGTAATACAGGGTGTAATACTCCTGAAATAATATTCCAAGAAAATTATTTTTTCTATAATTTCTGTCTGAAAATTGTGCTGCGGCCTATACACGCACGCGGCCTATACATGCGTAAATACGGTACTGTAGACTGAAATTTGATGTAGACTCTATAGTTTGGCGGTATTAAGTAGCAGACAGGGTCATCTGAATTAAAAATAACTCGGTTAACAGGTCCCAAAACCGAAAATGATACATTGTACAACAGCAGATTCTAAATGGTTCTGACGATGGAGTACAACACTCAGAATTGCTGGACTGAGCTTAGCTCTTACTATGGGACCTAACTGAGTAGGTGTGTTCCCCCCACTTGAAGATGGAAACAGAACCAGTTTCCGAAACGTCGTGTTTTCTGTTTTCTAAAATATCGGACGATGGAAAAAGCCCCCAAACCCAGTAATTCTAATTGTACAAGAGTGTGTACATATTGCAACCGAAAGTGCCTCAGGTATTTTCGAGGACAGCGACACAAAGCTCAGCGGTGGCGGTTATGATATGACAAATGAATCTGTTACAGAGCTCCCTACGGATTCGCCATTCCTGGCAATGATTTCAGGTTTCTCCAGTTAACGAAGTCATCATACTAAACGTCACGAGTCGCCCCTGGTATGACAGGTACCAACCCATCTCCTACATAATCGCCAGTCGTTCTGGGGATGAGGTGGCCTTCAGGTCCATGGTTCACAGATGTAACGACCTCAATGTCAGGTAACGCAGGATTTTTGTGTCTGGTAACTTGTTGTCAAAGTCGGGTAATGGAATGACAAGATCAAGTAAGCTGTTGTCAGTGCCAATAACGCACCAGTAAAGCATGTGCATACGTACTGTAGTGTCCGTGGATACAAATCTGCGGTGCAGTTTCAGAAACTGTCTCGGTTCTTCACGGTGGTTACCTACGTCTAACGTCTCTTGAGTACCTGCACTCGAAAACACATCGCCTTCAGAACACAGTTCTTGTGGGGCAGACCGTGAAGAAAACAGTATCCCCGCACTGAATGGAACTGTCTTCTGAATTTCAGATATATAGATTGATAGCACACTAGTTGCAGCTATTCGAACAAAAAGCTAAGTTCTGAAATACAAATTAAATCACATCCGCCCATAATCTAGTGTAAGCATATTTCGTTACCATGGTTACTGTAAAACACGTGAAGGTTGCGTCCTTGTGTCATGTGTCATGGAGGAGAGAAAGGAGAAAGAAAGAAGCTGACATGAGTGCATGCAAGTAACTGTTAAATTTACAGTTTTTCTGAAATCGCGTCGCGAAGACGCACAACTTCTGCATTTTCCATTTTCTCCTAAGCCTCGCTGATTGGCAGAGACTGTCGGACGGTCACACAGATGGACGGACGGACGTGTAGCTATTATACGAGGAGCGTTCCGTATATAATGCCTACTATTCTTTTAAAGAAAACTACAACAGATACAGAAAGCATAATAACGCAGTTAACTAGAGCAAGATTTCAGCTACTTGCAGCTATTTTCCCACATAATCACCACCATTCGTTACGCACTTTCGCCAGCGATGAACAAGAGCCTGTATGCCGCGCCCGTAAAAGTCTGCGCCAGCAGAGGCTAGCCACTTTCTTACAGCTGCAATGACAGCATCGTTGTCTGGAAAATGTTGCCCACGTAGTCCGTCTTTCATAGGCCCAAAGAGATGGAAGTCTGAAGGTGCTAAACCGGGGCTATAAGGTGGATGTGGTAGGACAGTCCAGCCAAACTTGGCAATGTGCGCGGTGGTCGCCAAACTGGTATGGGGTCTAGCGTTATCGTGTTGCAAGCGAAAGGTTGTCTGCTTCTCTGGCCTGACTCGGGAAATGTGGGCTTTCAGCTTAGTCAGCGTCGTCTTGCGTTCAGAATTGACAGTCTCACCAGGCTCCATGAAATCCAAGAAAATCACACCCCGCCTATCCAAAAAGACCGTGCACGTCACTTTCCCTGCCGATGGCTGTGTCTTGAACTTCTTGGGGAATCCGGATGTCGCCACTCCATGGACTGTCTTTTGGATTCCGGCTCGTATTGGTGACACCACGTCTCATCTCCGGTGGCGATGCTGTCCAGAAACTTGTCACCTTCAGCCTCAAACTGGTGCAACAGGTCCTGACAAACTTCAATTCGATGAGTTTTGTGGTCCTGAATAAGCATTCTCGGGACTCACCTGGAACACACTTTGCGATAATCCAGCTTCCCCAACATCGTTTCCAATGCATTACAGCCGATATTAAGCCGTGCACCCAGTTCCCTGGTCGTTATCCGCCGATCTGTGCGGATCAGGCGCTGTTCATTGTGAGGAGTGGCAGCTGAGCAAGGACGTCCAGGGTGTGGCTTGTCGTGCACTTCACTTTCGCCTCTGTTGAAACGCACTACCCACCGCCTCACTGTGCTGACTTCCACTGTATTGTCTCTGTACACCTTTAGCAAGCGTCGATGGATGTCAATAGGTACAATTTGTTCGGCAGTGAGAAATTCAATAACACATCTGTGTTTCATACGCACTTCTATGTCAGACACCATTTTGGTAGACTGCTCTGCTGTCGCTATCTGTCGCACAACCAAACTAACAGTACATTGGCGGGAGGATTTAACCTTTACACCACCACCACCATCCATCTCAGACGTTACATATTAACACAAAAAAATAGGAGGTACTATTTACGGAACGCCCTTCGTACACATGGATTATATACTCGTGCTACAGTTTAATAATTATTTGGTTTCATTTTTAGTTCCCGGAATATCAGTTTGTCTCACTGTTAATTGGTTGGTTAACTAAGCACTCTTTTATTTGCCGGTCAGTGCCCGCGCGGTCTAAGGCATGAACCGTCTTCGCTCGTTCGAACACTGGGATCGTGGGTTCGAATCCCACTCAAAGAATGGATGTCTGTGTGCGTTTATTCTGTATTTGTGTGGTCCTGTGAGTAGGCAGTGCCCTTGCGACTGGCTGATCCCCAGTCCAAGGAATCCTACCGACTGTGTATAGTATTACGAAACTGAGAAGAGACCAGGGCCCAACAAAGGGCTGTAGAGCCATTGACGAACGAGTGAATGAATGAATGAACTGACTCGTTTACTTACTTACATAATTAGTTATCATAGTTACATTGTTCGATGTGTAAGGAAGTCAATTACGTACTCCGTTAATACATCAATTCGTTTGCTAACCAGTCAGTTACCTTTATAGTGAGGCAAACAGTAATTTTGGCAATGCCATGGCTCGAATGTTTAGACATTGTGTTCTCACCGTGAAGCCTCGAGATCAGTTCCAGGTGAGTGAGTATATGTGAGACTCCTGATGAGCGAATTGGCGGACGAACAGATTTTGCTACCAGTTGCTTCGATTATCCCCTACTAATCATCATTCCACCATTGCTCTGTCCCCGTCTATCCCCGCCCCATAAGGTGTGTGGTAGCACTGACAGGCAGCACAGTATCACATCCTGGGTCTGATGTTCCTACGTTTCAGGATCTACGTTGATGTGGTTATGAACCACATGTCCGCTAATTCAGGCGACGTCACAGGAACAGGCAACAGCAGGGCCTACACGGCTGACTTCGTGTATCCGGCTGTCCCTTACGGCCCTGGAGACTTTCACAATCCAACCTGCGCCATTCAGGGCGATGACTATGGAAACAATGCTACTGCCGTGAGTGAAACTACTCCTGTATCTATGCCTCACGCTGTGACAGAAGTCTGTATTGCGGCAGTTTGTTTCTTATGGCTCTCACAGTAAACAGCGACTGTCTCCCTATCAGCATTAGCCGGTTGGGCTTTGTGGTGGAGACGTAATGTTTCCTGTGAGGTACGGACAGGATTCTTGCCGAATATATTAGGGCGGGTTTTCTTTAAATATTGGAACGAGAAATATGCACTGTATTATGTATCGTGGAATGTACGCGGTACAAATTCATTCAAAATGCATCAAAATGTACAGTGATATTTTTTTTCGGAGTGAGATGAATATCAACTGATTTATCGTGAAGATGGAGGCAATAGATACTTCTGAAACAAGTATGGTACTCGATATCATAATATCTAAGTTTCGTATTATACTTTTACATAAACTAGAGTTTGCTTGTAGAAAATTCTGTTCTGCAGTTGCAGACGGTTTTTTGTTTTTTCGTGATGGGTACGTGAATTTAACGTATTAAGGTTCCTGGACTCATACACGTCATTTTCGTGATCTTCAGAACATAATGCATGTTGGGCAGAGCGCAAAATGAAAACTGTATTCCACCACTAAACTGGCCTGTCTATGGAGTTTCATGTACATACAAAATTCCAGTACGATAATTATAGACACTAAGTCAAAGAACTAAATTATCTTAAAGTAACTACAAATGACAATATATCACTCCAAAGTCTGGTGTGAACATCTTCCGTTGCCAGGGTTACTATAAAACTTACTGTCACGCGTTGGGTGACTATGGACGGGTTTCCGGTTGGTAACAGGATTCACTGGACACTGTTGCAGCTGGTGACTACACTTGACAGATCAGTATCCTCACTCACCGTAGCAGCAGGTCACGTGACCTGCCCCCATCTTACTCCCCTTAGCGTGAATGATAAAAGTATTTTAATCCATTTATCTAACGATGCTGTCAGCATCGGGACCACACGGCGCTCTTGACAATCAATAAATATATACTAGTTAGTGTTATGAGTACTGGCAGTCTAACCGAGGCACTCGGAAGAAACCTGCCCCACGGCCGCTTTGTCCACCACATGTCCCATATGGACAGATATGGGGTCACACCCGGGCCCCCGCTGTTGGAAGCCGGCGACTAACCGCCTGAGCAGTGGCACGGCCATCCCGGTTGTTAAAAAGAAAACAAACGAAATTAAATAACGAAAAAAAAAAATCTTAATTCTCCGCACAAATATGTCCAACTAGTTGTCCATAGATCCAATTTCTTCACCCAACAAATAGAAACAAATTTTTTTTAACAATATTACAATTGTTCGTCTGTCTTCACGGACCATAAAGTGAAGTTCGGTGACGTTACAGGTCAGAGACTGTGAACTGGTTGGGCTACATGATCTCAATCAAAGCAAGCCCTACGTCAGAGAGCAGATCATAAACTTCTTGAACAAGCTCGTGGACGCAGGAGTAGCTGGCTTTAGGTTCGTATCTCTTAAGAGTATATAAATATTGTATGAGCCTAAACTTTTACATTATGAAATTTCCAAATTAAGACAAACACACATACCACTATATATATAATCACTGCTACTTCAAAATGTAATTTGCATGATACTGCAAATGCTTAGCGTCAAACTCAATAGATGGCAGGACATGTTTCATTCTATGTTACAAACACACAAAAAATAAAGCAGGGAAGAAGCATAGGTATCAAAATTATGTATATCTTGGAGGAATGCATTCTTCGCGTGTCTCCACAGACCGTCTTCATGAAGATGATAATTCTAGTTTCTTGTCTTAGTTACCGCATATACACGTAACTTCACACGCCAAGATGATGCAAATGTTTCGTGTTTTCTCTCCAGTAACACCAATTCAGTTCATGCAATTGATAACGAATATTTAAGCCCTAACAATAACGAAGCGCGTCTAAATGCACAGTTTTTATAGTCTTTGCCCTCCTTTAATTTTCATGTCTGCTATACCACTCAAAATGTTGAGCTGGAGGAAATTTACAAAGAGCAGAGAAAAGTTAGAATCTGTGGGCCTTGGGGGACACAAGAGCCAAAGAAAATCAGCAGCATAGCAACAAGAGATTTCATCATTAGATTAATTGCTAGTAGCTTCCTAGGCAAGACCACGCATTGTGAAACAAGCTGATGTCCAAGTAGGGAAATGTTCATGCTTTGTGTCATTGCCTCCAGAGTGGACGCCGCCAAACACATGTGGCCAGAGGACCTGCAGTACATCTACAGCCACGTCAAGAATCTCAGCACAGTGCATGGATTCCCGCCGCAGACAAGGCCTTTTATCTACCAGGAAGTCATCGACTATGGTGACAATAATATTTAATTTATATAACGACTTGCAAGTATAGAAAACGCGGCACCTCACTGAAACAAAACAAATACAAAAAAAATGCATACATTGAAACTTCTCTGACGACTTCGGGCGTTAAAGAGAAACGTAACAGAAAATAAAATGGCGACGAATAAAATTTCTGAAGATATGTTACGTAAATTTTCCTCGTCTTCTGTTGCGGAATCTCGTTTACTTCACATATTCCCTTTGCCACTCTATATGCAACTTCATTGATAACCATTCTTTCCACAGAGTAGAACTGTACGTGCCTGGTTACTTGTACACATTCCGAAGGCATGTTGTCCCTGTTGCAGGAGGAGAGGCTGTTAAGAGGGGAGAATATACTAGTCTTGGGAGGGTTACAGAGTTCAACTATGGCACTTTCTTGGGGAAAGGATTTTCCGGAAATTTCCCTATCAGCCACTTCTACAATTTTGGTAAGTAGCAGAACCCAGAGACACTTGAAAATTGCTCATATTTCAAAGACATTCCCTGCTTTTGTAGAACTCAGGGATTCATTATCCCTCTCGCTGTGTATTTGAGTACCATAAGTTAATCGGGTTATTAATTTTGTTGTGATGTATGATTGATTATATTTCACTGAGCAGTTATTACCCGTTGGTGTATTTCGATTTGTATGTTTCTGTCATTAATTAAATATTTAGTAAGAAATGCTCTATGTGCGACGTCGAATTCCATTATAATGAGCGGCGCCATTACGTGACCTCCTGCCAGTTGTTAACAGCCACGTGTCTTGCCGCAGGAGTACGCAGCAAACACGTGTGGAGTTTCCGTTCGCCTGACCCGCCCAAAAGATCTAAATCAATCTATTCATTATGCAGCTACTCCGATCAATTATGAACAGTGTGCTATGGCGTTATGGTGGGGATAGCACAGCTAAATTAGGATACGTTTGCAATTAACCATTGGTGAGTCGCTCATCTGCACCCACCAACTAAACCTACCTACCTACCTACCTACCTACCTATAATTTGACACTCAAGCATCAACTCACGATCTGTTTGTTTAGCGGTGAAGGCGGTTTCGAGTCTCGGCCATGACACTGGCTACAGTGACTGACATTTCCCTTTGTTTTCCTCAGTGTCTCCAGCACCTCGATTGGACACGACCGCTTACGAGTATATCCAAACTCCTTCATGTTTAATCCGACGCTATATAACAGACACCGTTAGATACCTTCATTTTTTTAGTTATTGGGGTGGGGTGAGACCCAGTCCACTTCGCACTGCGGCCACTACTGGCCTATTGTACGAGTATAATGAATGTGGAGCAGTAGCTTGAATGAGAATTGGCAGGGGAAACCAAAGTACTCGGAAAAAGCCTGCTCCAGTGTCACCTTCTCCACCACAAATTCCACTTGACCAGACCAGGGCTCGAACCCGGGCCGCCGCGGTGGGAGGCCAGCGACTAACAGCCTGAGCTATGGCGCGGCCTTCGTTGCATATGTAAGAAAAGAAAGAAACGCCTATTCCTTGAGTCACCTAAGCTGGGTCGCACAGCCTTCACAGAATCCGGCCATTCTCTGTACTGAGCTACACCCTCAGATCATACCGGTACGTAAGGCTGCGGCTGATGACTCATGATAACGGCTTGGATCCCTCTGTGTTACTCTCCCTGATTTGTTCACTGCGCAGGATCAGAATGGGGGATGCTGGATGACGGCGATGCTCTCGTGTTTGTGGGTAACTATGACAACCAGCGCGGCTCTGGTGACGGGGGAGCGAACATTCTCACCTATAAACAGGCCAAACTCTATAAGGTAACCGAAACCGCGTCTGCAGCTTAGAGCTGAATTCCTTCAAGGATAAACAAAAAGACAGTTACTTCCAGTCCAAAACCAGCCGAACCCCCACAATTTCCCTTTGTGGACTCCAAATAAATTTTCTTCTGCTTCTTCCCAACAGGGCTTCATTCTTAACAAACCAAAATGTCCTTTGTCTGACTCTAGTAAACAGTCATCTGCGTATCACAGTCATAAGCAGGGCAGAGGTCCGTGTCCTGTGTGAGAGCAAGAAGGCAAATGCATGCCAAACCAGCATTTATAGGTAAACGGTTTTATCGAAAGGTGCGTCGAGGCCGTTTGACAATTAAGGCCATCTTTCAGACACTGGGAGTAACTACGACCTCTGTGAGCACAAATACATTCAAATTCCCCTTACATACGAAACTGGCGTGCCCATGCAGAAAAATCTGGAGGGCAAATTCAGAAATTCACTTTGTTGTTCCTGGGAGTTAGTTCCATTTACCGTCTGTAGGCTCTTGGACTCAAACCTTCCACCTTTGTGAGCTTCAGGAGGAGGCTTTATGCAGGTAACTGTAATCCCGCACTAAAACAGCCAAACTGTCTTCGGAATTTCGCGTACATAAAATTGCAGTACACTATTCAGAGCAGACTGAACACACAACTGGATTATCTTAAAGTAAATACAAAAAATAAAATAAAGCAATCCCTGTAAGAGGCCGTGGAGTCCCATAGGGATACGAGACGTCAAGAAGATTCCTGGTACTCATTTCTGTTAGAGGCTGAGTCGACCCCAGGGCCATAGTGCGGCCGGAAAGATTAGATCAACTGGAAAATCCGATGGCCTCGTCGGGAATCGAAATGGAGACCCTCGGCTTGTAGCATAATGCTACTATGCTATCGCCTGGCCTTCTTAAAATAAATAAACAAAGGAAATACATAACTGCATAATTAGAGTAAATATGTCTCGTTACCATGGTTGATATAAAATACAAAAAAGTACAATATACGGAAGGTCGCGGGTTCAAGTACCGATGAGGTCACTGGATTTTTTCATTTGACCTAATCCTCCCAGCCGCACTAGGGCCCTGGGATTTACTCAGCCTCTAACAGAAATGAGTACCAGGAATTAATTAAATAATTTTCCTGGGGAGTAAAGCGCGGCCAGCGCGTAAGGCTGACAACCTTACCGCCATATTTGAGCCGATTGTCTAGATAATGTGAGACCCTCAACGTCTCACAGCCCTATGGGCCTTCACGGCCTGTTACAGGGATAGCTTTACTTTTTACTTTTTTATACGTATATGAAGGTTACGCACTCCTTGTCCCGCCATTTTTCTTACAGAGGAAACAACATGAGAAGGCATTTACTTCGACACGAACCTAAATATTTACGAGCAAAATTAACAAGTGTTTTGGGCTTGTCTCTGCAAAAGGAACATTTTTTGTCGTTACCACCTTTTCTTACGACCCGCCGTTTGGAAGAAAACAAAATGTGACAGCCAGCCTGACACACAGAGGGATATTTAGTTGATATATGCATAATACCTTTACACAAAAGAAAGGAGTTCACGATGTCTTCCAATTTCACGTCCAGATGGCAGTAGCGTTCATGCTGTCATGGCCTTATGGATACCCACGCGTCATGTCCAGCTACTATTTCGACAACCACGACCAAGGACCCCCACAGGACTCGAATCAGAACACTGTGTCTCCAACAATAAATCGGGACGGAACGTGTGGCAACGGCTGGGTCTGCGAACATCGGTGGAGGCAGATCTACAATATGGTGGGCTTCAGAAACCTGGTAAAAGGTACGTAACTCTCAGATGTGCTGAAGTTTCTCAGACTGGCTGGCCTTCCACACATGCGGTTCTGATCTCGTGTTCAATTCGCGCTCCGACTGAAAAAGGGTTAAGTCCTGGGATGGGCTTGCGATGCAAACTTGCCTGCAGATGGTTTTACGCATGTGGCAATTTCCAGCAGTAAAGCTGTGACTGTGCTTCATTCAGACTCACAGCAAAACTACGGAAATGTGGAGGTACAGCACCAAGCATTAAATGAACATGAGTGGTGAGCTTCACGCCCCGCCCGCTTTACCAAAGTAGAAAGCGAATCCTATACTCATTTGATTGATTTCAACTTATAGTATAATTCGCCTTATGCAGTCTCAGTATTTCGCATTCGCGTCAAGTTTGTAATTTTAAACTTTGAAAAATGTTTTATATGGAACATCTGGCTCATACCCAGGACCTGTAGGAGTCAGCTCAGTAGGTGTAGTGACAAGGTTACGGGCCACAAGACCGTCGAGTCGTGTTTCGATTTCCGACTAAGACAAGAAATTTCTAGGAAACAAAGTGTCCGGATGTTACCCTATATCGTGGCTACTTCAAATCGCAGATCCCCCCATTTCAATTCTGCCGCTACTATCCTAGTACGCCTCTATTTCCGTAAGCTACCACCAAGTCGGCTAATGATTACGCTAATTAATGTTATCTTAATATATTTTCAACATTACAATACTTCATTGTCTCTCTTCTGGATGCGTAGCGAGTGGAATGAGGTTTTGAAATGTCCAGGCAGGGGCGATCTAAAGCATGAATTGTCTTCGCTCGTTCGAACGCTGGGACTGTCGGTTCGAATCCAACTCAAAGCATGCATTTCTGTGTGTGCGTTTATTTTGTGTTTGTGTTGTCCTGTGTGTAGGTAGCGGCCTTGTGACGGGCTGATCCCCCGTCCAAGGAGTCCTACCGTCTGTGTCAAAAAAATATTACGAAACTGAAGAAGAGGCCAGGGCCCAACAAAGGGCCGTAGAGCCATTGGTGAATGAATGAACGAATGTCCAGGCAGGATCCTAGCCTACATTACATTTAATTATATATTTATAAATTCAGCTATGATTCATGCTAACGATTAACTCTCCTTTCCTAAAATAGTTCCAATGATCTAATCTAGACTCTTATCCTCGGCTTTCCACACTTCCGCCGGAAGTAATCTCATTCTCAAGTTTCTGCCCCTTCTGCTAACTTTCCCTGCCTGAGAACGAGCAAGCCCTCATCCATTTACTTCAGCAACGCCGTTATATACAACAGTTTTCCACCCCATCACGTATCTGACACTGCACGAGCTATTTGGAACAGCCGTTTGTCTAGACTCAGTAATGTCTCAGTCATGATTGTCTGTCTGGGTACAGCTGTCCTAAACTCCGCTAAATGTTCCAGGAACATCAGTGACGAACTGGTGGGATAATGGAAGCCAGCAGATCGCTTACACCAGAGGTAACCTCGGTTTCATCGCATTCAATGACCAATACAACACTGACCTCAGCCAGACGATACAGGTGGGCGGTCAGTGGCCTGTTTTGCTTAAAGGCTCATGCAGTCAAATCGTAATAAGAATGTATTCGGAGGAAACCTTACCATATTCACCAACTGAGAGGACAGAAGACAATCGAAATATGATGACGTTAACGTTTGATTTCGCCTTTCGGGAATACTTCACGCAGAACACTGAAGGTTTCCCAACATTTCGGCAAACACTGTAGTCGCCATCTTCAGGTTTATTGCTTTCAGAGAATGTTGGAAGCATTTATTTTTATACAGACCTCGCATTGGGTGGTGATCCGCAAGTGAAGCCATGATTGGACGAAACAGAGAACAGCTCTGCTGTTTCATCAAATCACGGCTTTACTTCCGACTTCATCCCAAAAGATGGCAACTGCCATGCTTGTCGAAACATTGGAAAAATTCCTACAGTCAGCGTCATGTATTTCCGAGAGACCAAGTCATACACTGCATTGAATAATGTTATACTGGAACTAAATATTGAGTGTAAGCAGGAACCGTGTTTGTCTTTACGTTTCTCATGGGATAGGGGAAGATGAAAATGGGTACAGCTTAATGGTGGATTGGTCATTAAAACGGGGAAACCGACGAACTAAAATCTGTAAATCATAATCCGTATAACAGAATTACATTGCGACCCAGAAGCGTAATAAAATTACATCAGAGAAAAGTACAGAAAAGTCCCTCCACACTGTGACATTCCCCTGTATGACTGCCACCCATTTGGCTGGTCTGTGTTGCAGACAAGTCTACCCGGCGGGGCCTACTGTGACATCATCTCGGGGGAGAAGCAGGGTAGCGTCTGTACCGGCAAGACCGTTACCGTCGAGCCAGACGGGACGGCGTTCATCCAGCTCCAGGATTCTGAAGACGACAGCGTCCTAGCAATTACCGTCGAGGTGCGTGCTTATAACCACTATGCACTGACGTATATAAACAGACCCTCAGATTCAAGGATTCCCAAGCTGTTTAACCTGTGCCGCATTATTTCAGTGGCTTACTTAACGTTTCCAAAGCGCGTGTTAAACCGAACGTTTCGGAGTTGAAATCTGCGATCAGAGAACTGTTACTCTGGAACTCTTCTTGGCTTTTCTCAGTCCCTTTATTACAATGGCTAAATAGCAGCCAATTTTAGACCATGGCCAATTCCTTCCACATCTTTTCCAATTTGAATCTTCCTGCCATCCGACGCCAAATAATCTGAGCCCTTCAGGGCGTCGTTAAATGAACTGCAAACACCCGCGAACATTGGCTGTAAGGTACGTGTGTTAATGAGATTGGCAAGTCTGTTTCCTAGTAACGCCTGTAACTAAGCGGCCTCCGTAGTCTAGGGGTAACGTTCCCACCTCATGACTCAAGTTACGGGGGTTTAAACCCGGCGGAGGTCGTGGAATTTTTAAGGGCGGAAAAATTCAGGGAACAAGTCCTCCGGGAGGGACTTTAAGCCGTGGGTCCCATGTCGTAGATTTACGGCACGTAAAAGATCCTCATGTCTCTAGGAGACCTCCGAGCAAAATTAGGCAAAAAGTTTCCCGCCCAAGTAGTTTCCAATGCCTCCGGTAGATGGGGAAAGTTATCGGGTACTAGTACCAGTAGAGGGCCGACCTCGCTGGCGGAAAGGGGAGAGTTATCGGGTACCACTGCCAGTAGAGGGCCGACCTCGCTGGCAGAAAGGGGAGATAGCGGGCACGAGTATCGGTAGGGTATGACGACAGTAGAAATTAAAGGGGGGCGTACAATAGACTATTAGTCGCGGTGCATGGGGAAACCCACTCCCTCTATACTGAATAACTGAATAACTGAACGCCTGTAACCAACATACAATGAAATGTGAATTGTCTGTTTCAGTCGAAGCTGTGAAACCTGAAACTGGTGTTCAGACTACAGGATGTTTTAGAAGACATCACTGACCTGAAAAAAGTAATGTAGTATTGTTCCAATAAAGCGTATTCGTTTGGGCAACACCAATACGCAGAAACAGAATGCCAAGGGTGTCATGGAGTGTCATGAAGCCAGGAGGATAATGAATGCCCTCACAACATCCTTTTCCCATATAAATAAAATGCTGACGTCACAGTACCACCGAAAAGCAAATGACTGTCATCATCAGAATGTTGATTACTATCATCACACAATTCTACGATTCACACGACCGTAGTGTCCGATGACTCTTCATAAAATTCCTTGTTGCATGCACCCGGAAGAGCAACGTCTGTCATAAAAATGCTCCGTCTTTGTAGAAGAAGAAGCCTGCTAACTGACATCATCCAATATGGCCGTTACAAAATTCCTTGTCTTACGTAAGCAGAATACTGACACTTGCCACTGTCCTGAGTTCACAGCCCCCTCACTCTCACAGACACGACACAGAGCTCCCAAAATCACGCCCACTGTGACCGATGTTTCGGAGAAACGTACTTCCTCCTTCATCAGGACCAATGACATGACACAACTTTCAATATCGTTCACTATAATTTGCGAAAGCAAGATAACAATGAATATGATGATGGTGCGAATACTGGTGATAATTCCGAAACTTTACGATGTATTTATTACAAATCGCATATGGGTTGTATGACTGTAAGTAGCAGGGATATATATATATATATATATATTCAGCAAACCGTGGGTAGCTTCCGGAACTATTTCACCTGAAATTACAATAGCCCAACACTTAAGCCGGAAGTTTCTTTTGCATCGCTTACATCAACAAACTGCCAATAAAACAATACTACAATATAAATACTCAGACACATGTTCGGGCAACTAAACGTAGGCTTCCCGCGCTCTGTGAACAAGTTTATGAACGTCTTTCGCGCCACGGAAACCTCTTCTTGGTGTTCAAAATAGAGGGTGCAGTTAAAGCTAACCTCAGCAGTGGATGAAGGTGAGTGGTGAGCTTCAGGCCTCTGTTGCTTCACCCCCGATGATTTAGATCCGTTACCATTGTACAGGAAGCTGTATGAGCCCCAGAGGTGGAGAGGTGGTCAGTACAATTTCTGTAACAATAACAAGCGCTGAAGGTCACAAATTATTCTTTCAACATCTATAATTTTATTTATATAGATATAGCAAGAAGTCACAAAGATTTTGGGTCACGACGTTTCGGAAACTGGATCTGTTTCCGTACTCGGGTGAGGACTCACTGGACCAGTGATTGAGGCTAGCTCTTTCTAAGGGACCGAACAGAATAGGTGTTTTCCCTCACCTGAGGACGGAAACAGATCCAGTTTCCGAAACGTCGTGTTTTTCTTAGTTATCTTAAAAACCAGGACGATGGATAAAGTCCGAAAACCCAATATCTCTGTGTGTTATACACAATCGTCAGAATCGTATATTAACTAATAGCAAGAAGTGTCAGCAAAGCTCACTGCGCCATCTGTGGACAAGTTTGCAAACTTCTTTATCTGATGATATATATCTTTGTCTCGCGTGAGAAGACTCAAACTATTTGCAAATCAACGGAATATTAAATTACTAAAATCCTCCGATGGAAGATCTGTGATTACAATACCATCAACAGCTCATGACAAATAATGCTACACGGATTGTGACAATTCACCACTTTATCGCGCGTACATTTTCACTAAGCACCCAAATTCTGCATTACGTGATCGATATTCGTGACATTTCAACAATTCGGTCTACTTTAAGCTGGCACATTCCATATCATATGGCTGATGCTTGTGATGTTTCAGTTTCCATTAACCATCTGAACCCTTCATCACATCTAAGCAATGTTCACAAATTCAGTTTGTGCCTCACGGATAACACCGAACATCTCTTACCAACACCAGCCGGTTAATGCTGTTTCGTGAGATATTCGAAGCCTCGTACGAAACCATAAATACACTGGGTGGGGAGTGTGATGTACAGTTACTGTTAAAACAGTTGGTGTATTTAATGGCCAGCGTGATTTGCAGAGTTAACGATGCATTTTAGGCTAGGTTGGTTAACAGATTAGTGCCAACTTTGGCGGATAGGAGGTGTCACGTGGTCAGCGCAACGAATCCCCACGGCCGTTAATCTCGGTTTTCTAGACCGGAGCCGCTAATTCCTTGAAATAGCATCTCAATTATCCTCACGAGGCTGAGTGGACCCAGTTCCAGCCCCACTACTTCTCAGAAAATCTGGTAGCGCAGTGAATCGAACCCGGACCTCTGGATCTGTAGCCAGGAACTCTGATCACTAGACCACAGACAAAAATTGGCACTAACTTCGCCGACAAGCTGCGGTCGCTCGGTCGGTATAGTTCGCTTGTGGACTAAAACCACGGAGTTTGTGTTTTGTTGAAGGATTTGACGTTCCTTCAAATGCTCTTATTAGCTACTGCTAACATACCAAAAGGATAAAGGGGGACGTTCGTGAACCTAATTTCGGCGTCCTATAAATTCTGGTACTGTCTTCTTCTCCATTACTGATGTTAATGCCTGTATCGGCATGGTTCTGCCCTCCGGAATCACGTGTACATATAGAGTACTCACGTCACTTAAACCAGAATGCAATCTTGTTACTACACCCACTTATCGAAAATGATGACACAACTGGTGATAACAGCGCGATGTTCGACATGGAATTACCTGAGTAACACTGCTGCCAACATTCGCAATATATTCCGACCCGTAATTTTAATAAATCATAATTTTACTCTTGTATGTTTGTCACAGAGACGCGCTGTTCTCTCTGGGGTGAGAAGTTAATTTTATTTCTATTAAATTTATCCTACTAATGTTGAACCCTGTACAGAAAACAAGGATGTTACATCGAGTGATTCGGAACACAGTTCTGAACAGATTTCACCTACCGTTCACTCATTATTACTGCTCGACATACGTACCTGACGCTTTGAATAGTTACGAGGCAAACAGCGTTAGGAACCGGCGCTGACCGGTGCTGGCATGAGAATCGGGCAGACTGGGCCAAGATGATCTGCCCCTAACATTTGACATGCTTCAGTTACATAAAATTACAAAATCAGACCATTCAGTGCTCTTACATGGCGAAAACTAATACAAGAATTAATGGCCGCTCCACAGCTCAAGCGGTTAGTCGCTGGCTTCCCACCGCGGCGACCAGGGTTCGATCCCGGGACTGGTCAAGTGGGATTTGTGGTGGACAAAGCTGCGCTGGGGCGGGTTTTCTCCGAGTACTTCGGCTTCCTCTGCCAATCTTCATTCCACCAAATTCTCCATCATCATAATCACTCGGGGCAGGTACAATAGGCCAATCAGTCGTCTCCGTGCCGAGTGGACCCAGCTGGACTCCACCCCCCACTAAGCGAATTTAAAAACAAAATTTAATACAAGAATTACCTTAAATGTTAGTGCAGGTCCCTGGGGCCAGGGTTTGCAGTATCTGTGCTACTATCCTGCTGATCTCGGAACAAGAACACTTCTTCAGTTCTCAGGAGGATTTTACTTCTTTGAAAAGGGTCAACCACAGAAACACAAACTGACTCTTCGGTTGGTCGACTTACAATGACGTCACCACCCGTCTTGGTACATGTGCCCCAGTGATATTTCTCCAGCTGGGTCAGCTGATTACGTTGAAGTACAGACTCTAACAGTTGGCGGGCAGAACGGGAACCTGTTCTGACATATAACTTTCTCAACTGTTTACACTCGGACACAAGATATTCTGTACATATGCGAGGAAAGTCCAGATAAAGACAGACAACACTACTGAAAACGGCAGAGCATGACCTGTGCCGTGACTCCAACAGAAAACCAAACTCTGCTTCAGTGTCTAAAAACGAACCCGATGTGAGGTGGAAGCACCGGACTGAAGGACACATTTCACCAATGAAACTTATCTTAACGTTATAAACGTAATGTAATTCGAGAAACACAAGCTGAGTGCCAATAGTGAACAGGAGATCTTCTACTTGATCAAATTCCATGCTACTTAAGGTCATCCTTGACAAGTGCTTCAGTTTCTTCAAAGGGGAAAAGCTTGATTCGTCTTTAGGACACAGACTTACTGTTGTGAGGTTCTGAAACTCAGAGGCAAGTGTGTCTATCTGAAAGGACGTTATTTGGTTAGATCCGAAACTCCTGAACGTGGTTCTACATCCACTGTGGCAGACTTTGGCCTGAGAAAGCCCAGCCATTAGCCTTGCCAGGCCACATTCAGATATGCCTGTAAAACTTATATTTAGCCCTTCCAAATGTTCAAATTTCAGAAAGTGTTGGATACTTTGATCCGTGACATTTGAAGAATTGCTGACATCAATACTCTTCAATCGATGGCATTTTGCAGCCACGTTTTCTAAAAACTTATCGTTACATAATTCCAAAAACCAAAAATGTTCCAAATTCTCTGATACATTAATGTCACTGATAGTCCACTCTTCTGTTCTACGTATGTATCCATATTTCAGAACCTTGAGGTTTGGAAATCCGTGGATCATGCCATGAATGTTAAGGAAGAGACGGTCCCACATAAATTCATGGCATTCAACTGTGTGTGACAAGTCCTCAACACTTTCCAGTCTTGTTAATGCTGGATGTAAGATGGCACTCAACACCATGGGCAATACCTCATCTCCCCACTGTCGGTAAACGCTGTAATATACGTCACTGTAAGTTTTATTTATGCAGTAAAGCAGTTTAGCTGTCACTTCATTCACAAGTGAGGAAGGCAGTGTTGAGTACATTTCCTCCTGCAGACGTCTGCAAGTCTGTTCCACATAACGCTGCTTGCGGTTGTCCGTCGCGGTGTATTGTGGGAAGGTCACCAGACGCAACAGAAGATCTGACACGTACGTCACTAGCGCCTCTACAGCGAGACTGATAAGACATTCGGGCCGGGACAGTAATGCCATTGTATTGGGCACTGCAATGACATGACACCGATTGTGCATAATAACGAAGTTCTCTCTCCTATCCTAGATCTCTGATGTGAACTGATGCTTGAAAGGCTGCAGCCTAGCTACTGACCTATCCCTCCACCTACAGCAGGTACCCCAAAATGGTATGCGAATCCTCGTAAGGTGCTTAACGCACAGCCTACCCTCGGCGCTCCATGGAGATCAGTGGTAAGATTCATCGCCTCGAAGATCTGTGCCCGGTGTAAACAGCCCCTTGTTCCCATTGGGAAGGAGGTTCGGTGGGCACCACAAGCGGTACTGACACTGTGGACGGCCTTTCGCCGGTGGCAGAACGGCCAAGGCGGTAGCTAACCACTCATCTCCTTCTAGTGTGAGGTTAAGAATCCACGGATCTATACCTACACTGTTCTATACATCTTCATGGCAGAGTGCTTAATTAAGCACAGGCACAACCTCGCCTTGCCTACGCCAAGCGATAGAGAGCCGAAGTGATCAAGAATCGGCGAAACTAACAAAATTTAGACTTTTATAAAGTTTGAGGAAGTTCCGTCTAGATGACATCTGTTCCACACGTAAGGTTCGCGGCAACAATGCCTGGTACTGATCCCTAACCTAAGCCAGACGAATCCAATCCGAATCCTCTCATCGTATTTTTGTCTAAGACGTATGTCAATACCGTCTCTCCACCTATACCTATATTTCCCAATCTGTCTCCTTCTTTCAGGTGAACTTTTGTAAGCATTTATCTCCTCTCTGTATGCTGCATGAACTGCCCATCTTATTTCCCTTGACTCCATCAACGTGATATTTCTCGAGGTGTACATACAAGTTCTGAAGTTCGTCAATGCGCAGCACTCAGCTTCCTCGCTGGTCATCAGGGGTGGCCAAGTGTACTTGATACAGGCGACGAGAATGATACGTTGCGTTTGAGGCTGTAGCGGATATGACTATCAAGAGCACCGTCCTCTTGGTTGGAATGCCGTGTATTTCAGAGACAACCAGACGTTTCTCAAGAATATATCGCTCCATCTTCAGGACAGAATGGAAAGCCAAGCAAACTGAGCGTGCCTCTTGCTTCTGTTGGTTTCTTCCTTAATTTACTATTCAACTCTGAAGATGGAGGCGACTTTCTTTCGAAACGTCGGTTCTCCCCTAACTGTATGGCGTCACATCCAAGAACAAAGCTATATTTCCTTTCTTACGTTCTCTCCCACACATTCTGTTCCACGCTTCCTCCTTGGTTTCCCTCCCGCACTCTCCCAAACGTCGTCGTTACTCAGGCCTCGTACCCTCGAGACCGGCGATTCCGTTCTCGGTCTGAGGTCCAGACATGGCTTACTGTGATCTTACTCAGCCCCTTCAAAATCGCAAGACTATCGTCACCTTTCCTCATAATTCCCAGCCATCCTACCGCTTCTCACAGCCTACCTAAAGACAAAACACACGACTCCCAGATTAGCTTCAGAGTAAAATACGGAAATGAGTCCTGCGGGACTCGGAACCAAGAATGACTGTGCCGGCGAGGACCAGCAGCAATTTGCCCGACCGACAGACTGACACTACTTAACACGCTATGCTAATCACACATGGGCTTCAATGTCGTCACACTCACTGAGGGATCTAAACGTCAATTTGACCCACAAGTACATCTATATAGCATACACAAAATAGTTAAATTTGGATGTTTAAACATTTTACGGAAACTGTCGTATTTTCAGTATAATGGATTGTGTTACGTTATCACTACGTCTCAGTCACACAGTGAAGTGTAAAGAGAGAGCCTGACACACCAATTACTTTTTACGTAACAACTGTACAATTCCTTACCAAGTAAATACTTCTATTTTCAAACAGTAGCCTCACAAACTTCGCAACAACTCTTTCTACGAACACGAGTTCACGAACAACGTAACACTGCAGTTATTCAGCGAGCAGATTTCATACACAGAGCGAATTATAAACATTACAACGAGGCCCGGTAAGTTGATCACGTCTTGCGTTAACATTGTGCAATACCTAAGCTATTACATCTCGTAGTTTGCTTCTTACACAGCTACGTACAAACTTTCAAACACGACCTAACAAATCTATCACGTTTCACTGAACACTGCGCAATTCCTCACCTAGCAAATTTCTCTTATTTCAGTCAGTAACGATGCATATGACTAATACTGCATCTACAAGGTTCACAGACACCACACAAACACCATCACCTGATCTACCTGCCAACAAGATTACATGACCTACGGAACAGAAGTGGTAATCAGCAGGACAGCCAACACACGTCAGACGCAAGTATGAATATACCGTAGAATATACATTTCCCTCGCTCGAGCAGATATTACAATGTCGGTTCCCATTGTGCGCATGTGGAATTAGTTGACAAAGGGTTTGGGGATCAGAACAATCCAAGAACTATATAAAATGCCTGATCTTATTTAAGATAATAAAAAGATGAGTTTCGGTTGTTTGGGGGTGGAAGTGGAGTGGGGAGGCAGACTGAGATGGCTAGGAGATGTTGCAAACTGAAAACAGTTGAAGACTAAGGGTAATGTTAGAGAAGAAAGGACATTTGTTGTAAAGGAAGCATAGTCTTAGGAGACATTAGAGCCGCTGACCTTATTCCTGTTTTCATTACTCCTAGGCTTAGATAGTGATAGACTGTGATGAGTATTATGAGCTGGAAAACACGGCGAGGGGAGGCGCGCGTAATTGTTGGGACCCCATAACCCTTCCTTCTGGCTTCACTTCTTTCCTCCTTTCATCCCCTTCCTTTCCCTGTATAATAATATTTTGTACGAGGGAGAGTCAGTAAATAGGTCACAAGTGGAAGTAAAACAGCTGTATAGAATGTAATAGGTTTTCTAAGTGTATCACTACGTAGCAGCACAGTCAAGCTCAATGACAGTTTAGGTGGCAGATACGCATGCGCATAGTCAGAGGCTGGTTTCAGTAGTCAAAATGGTGAGAATGTTTGGAGAGCATACTAGCGAAGAACAAGGTTCTATTGTGCACATTCTGTGGGCAAAAAGAATCAATACAGAGGATATTCGCAAAGATGTGTTTCCTGTTTAGGATTAGAAGTGTTTGTCGAGTAAAGCTATTCACAACTGGGTGGCAAACGTTTCGCTGATGACGAAGAGGAAACGGGGGTGCGGAAGTGACTGAGATAACAGTGAAAGGATTTCCATTCTGCGGGTTTCGACGCACTGGTAAAGCGACGAGACAAGTGTATCAATGTTGGTGGATATGTCAGGATATCGCTGATACATGCTGTGACAATGGTATAGAAAGTGACCACATTTCAGAACATGTATGACATAATAATATCCGAACAAGAGGCACAATACACGTAGAATTATTTTGGAGACGCTGTTTAGCCATTAGCTTCGTAATTCAAGAATGTTACAGAACTGTTTAATAATTAGAAACTTCATAAGAAATGCCTTGTGTAAGTCTGTTAAAGATGCGATTTCATTCGGCTCTTCGCACCTGCGCCTCGCTAGCGCCTGCCTGAGCGTTTGGACGGGTAATTTTCGCTATTTAAGAGCATAAAATTGGTGGGTCAGTGTCCGGTGAATATGAACATTTCAGCTTCAAGAACAATGGGTGTGACTGCACACAAGAAATATTGTACATCTAGCGATGTCAATCGTAGGGTCATGGGTGACAACCTCATTCAACCCAGGTACAGCTGTGGTTAAAGTTTTTTTTTTCTTGTAAAATACCGTATTTACGCATGTATAGGCCGCACATTTTTTGCCAAAAATTCAAGAGGAAAACTGGGGTGCGGCTTATATTCGAAATATTCGAAATCACACTGCATTTAAAAAAAATTATATTCATAATTAGTAATACAGGGTGTAATACTCCTGAAATAATATTCCAAGAAAATTATTTTTTCTATAATTTGTCTGAAAATTGTGCTGCGGCCTATACACGCACGCGGCCTATACATGCGTAAATACGGTATCTCTTAGCAATATAACCCAAGAAGAGCCTAATAGAAGACATTTTTGTTAAACCAATTTTTACCTTCAGCGAATCAGTACGTAGCCTGCTGCCATCTGTTGTACGGTTTTTTGTACTAAGTAACTGGCTTCTATAGTTCGGCCGTAATTACAGCACACAATGCCAGTCAACTCACTTGTGATACATTACTTCTTTACTTTTTGCGTTTTGTTTGATATTTCAAACGCAGAGGCTACGGACATTGAATGATAAAAGGCTTTGTAAATGATAAATTAAAGGTAGGAAAGGGCCAGGCGTATTTTAGGATATAATTTGACAGCGTGCTGAGATGTCTCTGACGGTCTGTTGCAGCTTCAAGTTTTGAAACCTCACCCCACCCCAAAGTGAACTCTAAATACGCTAGAAACCCCCTCCCCCAAGTTCGTTATTAGTAATTCAACTAACAGAAACCTCATTTGCTTTTTTATTTTGCAAATGTCACAAGAAAATATCAACACAAAAATGTTTACATAGCATAATTAGACACACGTTGTAGTTACAGCAATAAAAACTAAAGACTTATGGACAATGGCGTTGAAAAATCAATACACATGAAACAAGGAATAAGGTACAAAATGAATCCATCGGCATGCATTGATGGCTTTGAGACGACTTCCGGTATAGCTTACCATTTCATCGGCTGTGAAACGTCACCGGGGGAGGTACAAATAGTTAACATATTTGAAAACAGATGGAGTGACCTTATACGGTAGTTGTATCATAATTCTCAGGCATTTGTTTTGCACGTAGTTTGAATACATTTTATGAACAAGGCAATGGTTTAATTTTACAGACGCAAATAGATTGCGTCAAGACGGAAGAAGGGCTCTCTTGAATATATGAGACAAACCCCGTCTTAAGTGCAACAATTTAATTGTAGTTCTTTCTTCTTCCCTTCCTCTACACTAAATGTTTCGGCCCTAAATGGCCATCATCAGGTGTGTATTCTTACGTAGCTGTTACACTGCCCGTAGTTTAAATTTTAAAACACCAGTCTTTCCAATTGTATGTATGTATAAAATCTTTGTTAACCTACACACGTCAATTTGATTTCTAAAATTGGCACTTTTTTAAAACTTCAATTAAAATTGTATTAAATTTAACCACAAATGTACTCATTATCCACATTTAATGGATGTATTGTATAATCATTGGAGTTAAATAAAAAAAATGTATTAAAGATAGGCAGCGGCACACGCACAGAGAGCCTACACAGAACAATACCTGAACAGCGATAAAACAAGAAGTGGCCGCTGCAGCACTATAGACATAGGGCATGTACCCCGAGAAATTTTAATTTTTAAAATTTGGAAAAAAAGAACGGAAAATTTAAAGACATTTTAATTTGAATTGAAGTTTTAAAAAAGTGCCAATTTTAGAAATCAAATTGACGTGTGTAGGTTAACAAAGATTTTATACATACATACAATTGGAAAGACTGGTGTTTTAAAATTTAAACTACGGGCAGTGTAACAGCTACGTAAGAATACACACCTGATGATGGCCACTTAGGGCCGAAACATGCAGTGTAGAGGAAGGGAAGAAGAAAGAACTACAATTAAATTGTTGCACTTAAGACGGAGTTTGTCTCATATATTGTGTGAGTGTAACAGGATGCTTAAATATAATATTGCTCTCTTGAAGCTTGGGGCCCAGGGACAGCCAAGATACACCCCACCAGCACACATACGCCCCATTCTCACTAGTAGATGACTGCATTCCTGACAGATCTGCTTGATTCACTGAAGAGCGTGGTGCGACCTTGTGCTGCGACGGGTCTCAGAACATTGGCAGTGCTCTGGGTGCACCTACAGTGAAAGATGGAGGAAACAGACACATCATTACACGGAGGAAAGACAAAGTCTGGAAATTAAGCAACTGGCCATGTAAAATTTGAGGTTCTCACAGAGGTGGTTATGAAATATTCTATCTCGTGGAATATAACACCAGGTAGTTCGTTGAAAATCAACAGACGTTTCGGAGGAACATTTCGCTCTGCTTCCCATCTGCATTCACACATATTTCTTGTTCGTCTTATTCTTCGACCCTGAAGATGAAGGCGACATGTTTCTCCGAAACATCAGCTAACTTTCAACGGACTACACGGCATTGTATCCCAGAAGGTATACTTCTTGATCCTCACCTATTCGCATTCATGACTGGTTTCACGTATCGTTTTCAGTCTTTTAAACAAACTGTAATACAATTACTCCTTATTTTATCGAGTCACAATACAGAGTTTCAGCTTCGAACTCTAAAGAAATACAAAAATTGGTGAAGTAGTCACCTGCACTCCGAGCCCAAGGACAATTATGAAGACAGGACTTGACCTTGCACTTGAAACCGGCGGCGACGTACGTGCAGTCAGAACAGCAGCGCGGCTGCTCTGTGATCACCCAGTTCGTTTCGTACGGCCGTGTTTCTGAAACATGTGCAGCCATCTGTCGGTAAGGAGATGTAACATTCGGCATGATGCCCACTTCCAGAAATCAGCTCAAAGTTGTAACAGCGCAACTTCTGTTTTCATACTGTCCGAAATATAAAACATTTAAGAATAAAAAGAACTATAGATGTTAATATTCCCCCTTGGCACTACAGCCCCAGTGGGCCTAGGCCTACCTCCATGAACTTCTCCGTTCCCTTCGGTTTTTCTAGATCTTACACATTCGGTAGGACTCCTTGGGCGGGTGATCAGCTCGTCGCAAGGCCTCTACCTGTACACAAACACAGAAAAACGCACACAAACATCCATGCCCTGAGTGAGAATCAAACCCACGATCCCGGCTTCCGAGCAAGCGAAGACAAAGCACGCCTTAGACCGCTCGGCTACCGTGACCGGCAGATATTAATATACTCTATTTATATTATTGCCAAATCATTACTATACAGGGTGTTTCACGACTTTAGGGCATAACTGCAGCAGGTGATTTCCTAGGTCTTTGTGATCAAAAAAGTTCATATAAACATGTGTCCGATTTTGGACGGTTACGGAGTTATGACCGTTTTTTCATTCCCGTACACGCCCACGTGTGAACCGCGTCTGTCAGCTGGCGGGTCGCTATTTTTAGCCAGCTACAAACAGAGCGTTCTCGTCATCTCGACACTTGAGATGTACCTATGGCGGGGAGGGTTGGTATGTCCGGCGCGGTTCACAACCGAGCGGCAGCCTGTGTTGCGGCCGGCGGTGGCATTTTCGAAAATCAGCTTTAAGCACCAATAACTTCAAATTAAAGATAATTTCACGAAGTTAACTTTACATTCATACTTTAAATGTATCATGTATTATGCTGGTTTATTATTTTGTTCCGTTTATTGTCAGTAATCGTTACCTTCTGTTCTGAGTTTAAGGCGGTCATAACTCCGTAACCGTCCAAAATCGGACACACGTTTATATGAACTTTTTTGATCACGAAGACCTAGGAAATCACCTCCTGCAGTTATGTCCTAAAGCTGTGAAACACCCTGTATATGTAGGTACAGACCACCACTGAACCGTACCGAGTGTCTGTTGCTCACGGCCCGCTTCTTCGCGCAGTATTTACATTACACACATTCTAATACTCCCCATAGTAATTTTCCTTTAGAATTTTCAACCAGACCTTCGTATGCATTCATTAAACTCCCATGCTCTACGCATACGCCTTAAATTAATCGCCCCCAAATTATCGTCAATCCAGAATATGAAGTTTCGCATTATGCAGGCTTTTCTTTTTTCAGACATCTTGCCTCATATATCTTGATTCCAATATTAATTCCTGATTCCAAAGTCAGTGACTCACACAACGTCATTACATTGTACGTGCAGAACAGAGAACAAACATTTTCCAGGTCGATTTTAGTTTAGTTTGGTTATGTACATTACAGTGTTCTTGGTTGTAGAACGGAGACAGTATGACGTTTCGGAGGAATATACCACCTGCACCTGCAGGTGGAAGAATAATGACAGTAAGAAACCAGATGTGTTGGTTTCTTGCTCTGCTCACTTTTCGGCCCTACTGATGGAAGTGATATTTTCCTCCGAAACGTGGGCTCTCTGCGAAACATATGACGTTACAACGCAGAAAACTTTACTCGCCAAGTAACTTCAACTTCAGCGTATCATGAATGCCTTTGTACAGAATCATCAGGCGTGAAAATCAATTCTAAATTCCAACCATGACATTCTTAATGATAATAAGAACTCAGTAGTTCTAACTGCGCCTCTTGCATGTCGAGGCAACAAGGAGATAAAGCCGATCTCTCTTCTCTACACGTATTTTTTTTAAATATAAATGTATATAGAAAATTGGCCTAAGGAATGCCCATCCTCCCTTCTGCAGCACATTCTTATAAACGTCTTATTCTGTCATAGCTTCTTAGGCTTCTACAGCTCAACTGAACAATCTCAATTAGTTTATTCCCACTGGATTTTATTGTAATGTTGTTCGTGAAGCCGACAGCTTTCCATAGGTGTCTTACCGTTGCTTCAGCGTCCCCAAAATTATGCCATGAGTTCCTCATCTGATGATAATTCAGGTCCTGTCTCTCCTGCAACCCTCTTCTTTGGTTCGATAACTTCATTCTTTGCCTTTGCATAGCTCATGCCTTCCATCACCGCTTCTTCCGCCTCCACATCACTGATTTCTCTTTCCTCCACTGTATTTACCTCCATTTCTTGGCCACTTGTCCTTCTTTCAGAGAGTCCACACTCCGAGGTACGTGGACTCCCAGCCGTAGTATTTTTGACCGAAACCCACATTTTAATTATTTGTCAGTCTGATATACTAAAACCGAAAAAGAATCAAAAAAGTGGGAAAAACAAAAACGAATTTTCATATTCAAACACCAGCCTGGCTTCATTATTCGTTGCTTATTCTTCTGTATCAGTAAAAAAGAACCCGACCCGCCATCTCTTGCCACTTTAAGTTAATTAATTTAACACGCCTCAAAATGAATGTGTATGGTAGTACGAAAGTATATAACAAAAACATATACACACAGTGCTGTAGGATTTTATGTGAGAGCGTCTCTGAAGACCTCGCTTAATCCAAGACAAGTCTTGAAAAGTGATTCTTGCCGAAATTTTGGGGATTATTATTTAAAATTTGCGCATAAATTGAAGCTTTATTAATATTTTCAAATCGCACTATTTCAAATTCGCATAAAATGCGACCGCACTGTGCATATCTTCAACTGAAATTACCGGGGGAGAAGGGGTTGCAACCAATAAACAAACGAATCGGTTACCTTTCTGTAGAGTGTCGTTAAGGGGTTCAAATTCAGACCCTACTTCGCCTCCGCCCACCACCAGCCCCCTCTCTCCAACGAACATCACAACAATGCAGAGCAGGGCTACCAGCATTCCCGAACACGGATACATGTCGCTCCGCTTGACTGGGGCGGGCTGGAGCAGTCACTTGTTTCTTGTCGTGCTACTGCTGTGTATGAAGCAGCGGGCCTGCACATCAACAAGTAACGAATCAAGCAGATCATGAACTACGCAACTATCTACACACTGACTGCGAGAAGAGCCCGCTGGGTGGCGCTGCCTACCGTCACACATGATCCTAGGCCACACAGCATGTCAGTTTCCTCTAAGATCCATTTGAACGTTCCCTTTCCATCTCCTTATCGTTCAAGTAAATTAGGCCTTACAGGTTCCCCAGAGATTTCTCCGCCAAAGTTGTGTGTGCATTTCTTGTGACAGCTATTCGAACTATTGCACTATCTCAGCTCTCGCAACCCCCATTAACCTACTGTCACATGTAGACCCATTATCGAGTAACAACTGTGTAAACAAGCGACAGTACAACAGCCATTGCTAGGGAACAGCTCTGTGGACACGTGTTTTACAGGCAGCGAGAGAAAAGAGACTTTTTCTGTGCGGTCCGTGCGTTGTTGCGTTGACGGTAAAAACATTACATATGTTTATTTTATTCTCGGCAAGCTGGTGCACCGATGAAAGAGCTGATTGACTGATTGCAGAAACAGCCTCGAGAAGCTGATAATCATACATATGTTCTAGAACATTCATGATCATCTCCACAGATGTCTGTAAGTAGAATCGCCTATGATTCAATTTAATTGAATTCACATCCCCCAAAATATATTTCTTGACTAGGCCTCAAAAACATCCGTGTACCCTGAGGATTTAAATTGAAAAATGAAAAATTTAAAACGCTTATTTTTTCCCCCCATATAAGTCTTTATTTGCTTTTATACTTTTTAAGTTTCTTTGAAAAATTGATTTTTTTGCTGACATCTGCTGTTTTCAACGCAGCGAATTTGAAGACTAATATTTATGTGGAGTCCAGTAGAAAGCTGCCAAAATTGCAATGAATATGCTCTTTGCATCTCACTCTTCTAGGCCAAAAAGGGAGACAAGAGTTTCCTCCGAATTGCTTATATTTATACAAGACTATACGACGTCAATTTCTACAAGAATGTAGTTTCTATAAGCATCTTTATTATATGTTTCCCTAGTTACTACTTAACGGCTGCTGAAAGTCCGAAATAACATAGAGATTTTTCCATTTACAGCGACAAACACTATAGAGTAGGCTGAGGCTTGTAAACGACGTATCTCGTTCGTAGCGTAGTAAAGTTTAAGATTCCGCAGTGGTGATTAGACCAATGTTAGTGCTTTCACATACGTATTACGTCAACAGACTTGCCAACTGAAGCACGCAGAGTGGAGACTAAACGCTACTTCCGCCACCTCCACTAATTAAAATGTTCGCTGTTGAGAGCAGCAAAATGTGGGCAGACACAAGATAGGGGCCGCGTTCATGTTCAAACTTGTGGTGCGCGAACCACGTCGGCACAGAAACTACTTCACGATTCTGTGAGCTGGAGATGTAGAACTGTACCTGCACATAATTAAACACCACGCCATTTAGATCCCGTGGGGGAGTGGAGTTATAGCTCCTACTATTCTTAAACTCGGCCCTAGATGGAGGCGAGTGATCAGCTTCACGCCCGAACCGCTTTACCTTCGCGAAAACAACTCTCGATACGCGCTCGATGAGAATAAATGGATCCCAGAGCTCATCTGGAAGCTATGTACAAGAAAAAAAAACATTGTCTGCCATGGGAATCGAACCCGATTTCCCGGTAGTAAAATACGTGCAAGAGTGTTAAATGTATTGTCAAATGTACGAGTGTGACTATAGACGGGGTTTGGTTTCATAATCGGATTTATTGGACACTTTAGTTGGCACTAATTTCGCCGACAAGCGGCGGTCGCTCGATCGGTATAGTTCGCTTGCGGACTACAGGCCATGGAGTTCTTTTTTTAACACACAACTCGTGACTACACTTTACAAATTACTATCACACACAGACTGGTGTTCTCAGTCACGGTCTCTCACCGCGTTGCTTGGTAACGTCTTCCAACTGCGGAAGTCACTCTGCTTCCTGGTTCACGTCCTCGCAGGCTGGCGACCATCACACACCAGCGTCCTAAATTTCTAACTGCCGTCTCAAGACTTTCCCGTAATGACAGCTGGCCCTCATTATATAGCCTCGACATTGACAACACAGAAAACACCGCTTCCAACATTTACTCCAGTGTTGCTTACGACCGTTACCTAGCAATGGCTGTCTCTCTGGCTCCAGAGTTTACAGTATGTATCAAGGCTCCCATAAGCTCTGGCAGCTCAATCGGTAAGTGGCTGGCTGCGAACTGTCAGGGTTACATTTCTGCAGAAGAGGGACAGCTCTACGCCACGGCTGTCTAGGCCGGCCCTGGGGCCACTCAGCCTTTCCTCCCGTGTCCACCGGGAGCAAAGAGGAAGGAATACATATTGACACGGTGCCGTCGACGTTAAGAATGTGTGGTGTTTTACCATGCACTTCCTATATTCCTTCACCGTTAGGTAATTTAGAAATAGAGATAAAGTTATCTCCACTTTTAACAGTTAATCGACGAAGTCTGCTCAAACTGTGTCGCTTCTGACACTTATTTGCAAGATGCCGGGTTCAAATCTTGGCGGCACACCAACTACTCTCACTTCTGATTCTCTGTGTTTTTCCTCAGACCCTCCAGGCAAACGCTGTGATAGTACCTTAGAAGGAGACCACAATCACTTCACTCCACGCCCTTTACAATTCACTGGTCACTATGAAACCATACGAAGCCAAATGGCCTTTACGTCGGGTGTCGCTGAGCAACTACATCTAAATAGCATTTCAAGAATTCCTTCTCCGCTGAATAGCTTGTAAACAGTCCAACGACATGGTAATTAGATCTACTGATGATGAATCGGGAAGTGACCGTGGCCTATTTATGTCACTATCTCAATACTTATCTACATAGACAAATAATAAGCTTCAGGGACCTAAGCCCTTAACACGATTGTTATCAACGTTTCCAAGGAATCTGCTGTCTCCGTCTTCAGATTACAAACTGTTGGCCACTGCTGCACTAGCAAACCTGTTCTTTTATTGATCCTTTCCAAATTTCTGTATTCTCGTTCACCCTGAAGGTGGAGGCGGCAGATTCGTCCGAAATTTCGGTACGTTTTTACCAAATTACACGGGTGACACCTTAGAACACAATTATGTATGCAATTCTACCTGACACATTTCTGTGGTTATGCCACACTTCAAGCAGACAACCTTACGAGAGAGAGGCTCGTGTCTGCAGAGGGGTACCGGTTTTGAGAGTCTGGTTCCCCCCGTGTGCTGAATTGAGTTGTCTTCTGATGCTGTAACAGTCTACGTCACCATCTGATGGTGACGCCGTGTAGTCAGTTGAAAGTCAACCTACGTTTCGGAGGAATATACCGCCTCCATCTTCAGGGTCAAAGAATAAGCCAAGAAAAACCGGTGTGAACGGTGGTAGGCAGAGCTCTGCTTGTTCGGTTTATTCTTCGAGTGAGAAGATGGAGGCCATGTTCCTCCGAACTGACTGCACGGTATGATACCGTAGAAGATATTACTTTTCATAAGCACCGCTGTGAGTACCTGAAATCCTACATAACCTCAAAGTTGACTTATATGAACTTTTAGTAGCGAGGCCTCGTATTTGCAACACTAGACAGCCACTCACAGGATGCTGATACACGAACCTGACTAGCCTCTGGCGGTGTGTAGCGCTGTTTACTTGCCCCTCAAATTGTGCAGCACTGAGCGTTACGATGTGTACCGTGTCCTTCCTCACGTGGGACGTCCGTGATCATAGCGATTGCTCTTCACGTGACTCGCCGTTACCTTCCACTGAAGTTCTGCGGCAGTGATCAATTCGTTGCGCGAATATTGTGTAGGATAAATATGGGCGTCGATAGGAGGCGGGGGGAGGGGGGCAGGAAATATACCAAAAATTGGTTCATTTTTTAAATGTATATGCAGGATATCCATAAATGATTGATACACTTTTAATTTGTTACAACGAGGTGAGTATTACAACTATACAGTTGAAACTCGTGTCACCTGAATAAGAAAAAGTTTTACCTGCCCTACAGGTGCTGAATGTGAGCTCCATTCGTGACCCGACGAATGTCCAGTTTAATCCAGCTCACTCTATACTCTTTCTAACATATTCCTGCTAATTGTCTCGGTAACTGCGGTAATTCTCAACTTCAGTGGTAGAGGTGACACACTCGTTTCTTTACATAACCCCACAGAAAGGAGTCACGTGGAGTGAGTTCGTGAGACCGAACACGTTCATTTTTAACAAGCCGCATAGGCTCCTCATTAGCACCAGTGTCACGCTACCAAACCGTTGGATTGGGAGACCTGGAGCTGCAGATGAAGTGGCCTCCTCGGTCTCCCGCTCTCACTCCACGTGACTCCTTTCTGTGGGGTTATGTAAAGAAACCAGTGTGTGTGCCACCTCTACCACTGAAGTTGAGAATTACCGCAGTCACCGAGACAATTAGCAGGAATATGTTAGAAAGCGTGTAGGGTGAGCTGGATTAGACTGGACATTCGTCGGGTCACGGATGAAGCTTTAGGGCAGGTAAGACTTTCAGAGTTTCTCATTCAAATGGCACGAGTTACAACCCTATAGCTGTGATACTCACCCTGATGTAACAAATTAGAAGTGACTTCTCTGCAGGATACCCTAGGGCGACCAGTAGAAGGAACGGATTTGGAAAAAGTCCCGACGGCGCCCATAGAGAAGCATCTGACGTGCCCTTGAAGTTCGCGACGTTGAGTGTTCAGGAGACTGTTTGTTAGCACGGCCTGGTGGCCACTGACCCAGTATTCAGGAGAGGGGACGGTGTGAGCACAGGTGAACCAAGCGGCCGCGTGGGGCACGCCGAATTTACAGCCTTCATAGGGGCATTTTTGAAAGGAAAATTACTTTCCTTCCTATTTTGAGCATAAACTGGCAGTCATCTCTACACGTTGCGCAACAGTGTAATTATGCATTGATCAATTTTATATATTTTCTACACATTAAATTTTTAGGACGTTTCGGAGAGTCGATTGTCTCAGCCTTAAAGACAAGAAAACCTATTCTGTTGGGCCCAATCTACATAGCTAGTCCCTCTGTATCGATTGGGCCCAAAGGAGTGGGCTTTTACCTGAGGAAGTTGATAGTCCGGCATCCGAAACGTCGTTTAAAATAAAAATTAGGACAACTGATGTCCATAAAATCAGAGGCTGTATTAATATTCCAGTGGCATTAACTTTTAGATTGTATGTTTCATGTATTACTGTGACGGGATGACGCCATGTTTTTTTGCTGCTTCTTTGGAACTCATTTTAAAAATTACATTAGCGGCAGGGTTCACCAGTTTCTGGAAATTACGTATCAGAATATCAAAATTTTGAGTTTAGATGCAATTTATTATTGGCTGAGCCTCCATTTTGATGTGGTCTGGGCCTTACCCCATCAACATTAGAAAGAAAGTAATTTATAGAATACAGCCAACATCCAGATACAGGCGTGAACGTACGTGTCATAGAACGGTACACGAAATATACCTACGAGAGTGGGCAATATCCAGTACAACATATGTTCATCAGTCTCTGCAGTTGATACGTCATCATATAATTCATGCTTCACTGTCCTTTGCTGGGGACATGATTATGGAGAAGAGACCTGTTGCATTTCAGCAATATGCTTAGGTTGGCAACACTCACGGATCTGGGAACATTCACTGGGGAGGGAATTCCTAACGACAAAGCTAGTGAACTACAAAAGAAAATAACAAGTAAACACATTCAATTTTATTCATGCTTAATATTTTTCCTTTTATTTGTACAAGTTTATACAGCTCACACAATAAGTTGAACACACATGTCATCATATACAAGATTTTATTTGTGCGTGTCAGATTTTCGTAGGCCATACAGAGACTGAAAGGCCGCTTCAGAACTAGACAGATGCCTCAGTTCGGTTGAAGGGCCCAAGCAATATGCTCACGGATTTGTTCCTACATTAATTTTTGTGGGGAGCAGTTGTTAGGGCGTCTTCAAGAAAATTAAAATTGACGTCTGAAGATATTTCAGCGTGCGTCATCACATGGCGACGTAGATATTTACGCCATAATTAGTAATTTAATATATATTATATTTTTCATCGTACGATTGCAGGCAAAGTCACCATACCGCAGTTCTGATTGACCTCACAGGACTTTTCTTCCATAAAGTTACCTAATCAAGTTGTGAGGAACCCTGAAAATTCTCTTACAGAGTTTAAAAATAATGTTACCTAACAAGAATAGGGGCTCAATATGGCAAGCTTCTATGGTCACCGGTCAATGTATTCTGAGAGTCCGGTACAGAACATAGTTATACAGAATGAAGTCTCGTATTTCAGTTTTATTACAATAATATTCACAAGTTTATCATCACATCCAAGCAACACAAGAAGAATCTTGGTGTGGTCCATGTTCAAAAACAAATTATTTGAGTAGTTTGGGCCTCCATTAAGTTCTGATGTGCTAGGAATTCGATTCTAGAAAACCAGAATGCGCCAGCCTCACGCACTGGCCACCTTTGTGCCCCAGGAAGATTCCTGGCACTCATTTCTATTGGAGGCTGAGTGAACCCCAAGGACATAGTGCGGCTTGAAGAATTAGGTCAATTGAAAAATCCAATGACCTCATCGGGAATCGAACCCGCGATCTTCCGGGTTGCAGCATAGTACCTCAACCAAGTATTTCATTCTATCACCGAATTTAAAGCATTGTTCTTTACTGACCTAATGTGTGCTTTATACTTTCAAATAACGAAGTTCGTACATAAACCAATATTTAATCCTTCCAATATTAGGCCTAACAATTTAAATTAGATTGTATTCTTCCGGGCTGTGACAACGTGTAGTGTGGTACGTGATTCAGAAAGAACATACTGTCGCCAGCTTCTGAGCACGATCATGATCAATGAATGCCAACTTTCAGTGGCAGGTGGCGACATCTCGACGTGTACACACAAACTCCACTCTGACGTCAGCTGCACACCTGTAACATTATAACATTCACATCAATTCTGCTACATCACGCCACTTCATAACCTGAAAACTTCTGCTGTATTACTCTGCACCCTGTTTCGCCAAGGGTATGTGCTCCTCTTAGTTTTAAAGGAATCCGACGTTGCCAAAATAAATTAGACCCATTTGTCATTATGATCACGTATTCCTATTTCATTTATAACGTTTAACTTTAATATTATACCCATTTATGAATATCCGCATACATAATTGCGTCTCATAATATACGATAAAATAATTGTCATTCATCAAAATTTTACTGAAAATGAAAGCCAAGGATTTGAGTGTTTATTAACGTGTCGGTATGAGGGCCGAGCCAACCTTATTCGCCGGCCGCCCTTTACCCACAGGAAGATTCCTGGAGCTCATTTCTGTTAGAGGCTCAGTTGACCTCACGGCCATAGTGCGGCTGGAAGGATTAGGTCACTAGGAAGAATACAATGACCTCATTGAGAATCCAACCACGACCTTCCGGCTTATAGCATAGTGCCTGAACCAACTACGCTACGGCGTGTCCCCAATATACAACCGGATTACAAATTGAACATTTTCAGTTAGTGAAAGAAGTTTGAACGTCTCTGTAATGGGAACTAATATATCCTGCGTACTCTTATCGAATTCAGTTCACTTCATCGAAATTTCCTCAGGCAGAAAATTTTAAACGAACGAAGAAGTAGACTTGAAAGGATTCTGACGATGGTGTATGATGTACAGAACTATAAGGCTTATTTTGGACTCTATCCATCATATGGTGTATATAAGACAAAAATGTTTCGGAGACTGGATCTGTCTCCGTCCTCAGGTGGATGGGACAAGATAGACCTACTCAGTTGGGCCCGTTAGAAAGAGCTAGTCTCAATCACTGGACGTTGTGGTTTTTGTCTTATATATACCAGACGATGGACAGAGTCCAAAATAAACCTTAATAGATCTGTAAAAGTGAAAGAAATGTTTTTATGAACCCGACAAACAAGTTGCCGGTTGAATTAAGAGGTGCACATGTCCTTGTTGCCACCCCCTCGGCACGGTGAGCCACAGGGTAATGAGGGGGAAAAAATGGAATCAAACATTCCTTATTCGAAACGATAAACTGAATGCGACATGTGTCAAACAGCGCATGCGCACCAGTATACCGTTTCAGTACACATAAAAGCTGAAAATAAAAATAGAAATGCTGAATCTGAAACAATACAATCAAAATCGATTAGTTCACCTGAAAGAGAACGCATGGATTTTTAGTAAAAGCAGTTCTTATGAGGACATTTTCCGAAAAATTTGGTCCCTGGACGGAGAGAGAAGTTTCTCCACAGAATTTTAAGTCCTCGTTTTCCAAAGTCAGCTGCAGCTGATCCGGGGGATCCTAACAGACAGCCTAGTTTCCCTCCCGGCCCTAAAAATTCGGAAGTAAACGAGCGAGAGACAAGATAAAATGGTGGAAGAGCTGCAACTGCCAGTGCCAAATGAACGTCTCAAAACATTCACAAACAAAAATATACTGTAGGGACCATGCAAATACCACTCCATCTCAAATGAGGATGGTTCAAACTAAACTGATGTTGGCCAAGAGACAATCAGATTCATTTTGTTTTAATTAAATCCTTATTTTGAAGCGATTTAATGTCGCTCTATTGGCATTGTTGGCTCACGTAGCGTCCTGTAACACAAGAAGTTGTTTCTGGTCATGTTCTGTGACGCAATCTGGTTCCCTCCCTCCCCCCGCGCATGCCAATTGAAGAACGAAAACAGAAACAGCTCCAAG